TGCGTTTGTGGAATGGGTATTCCTCGCGCTTTTCGCTCGCTTTCGTAAGCTTCACATCCCGCCTTTCCCCGCTTCCTTTCGTCTCCGCCCTCCTCCTCTCGTTGGATGAGCCGACGAGTGACATCATGACTGCATATTGTCGCTGTGCATTGGCTCCATTGGCTCCGAGCGCGCACACGCAAGCCAGCAGCACCAGAACGAGCGTTTGGTGGTCTGTCCTTCTCCCTCTCTCTAGCTCGGTCGCTCTCTCCATCTCCCTCTCCATCTCGCTTGCGATATAGAGTAGCTCTTGTTTGGTCGCCGCCATGTTGGGCGACACCTTGGAGTACTGCGATTTTGCGCTTTGATTGTGCAACCGCTTTTTTTTTTTCTTTTTCTTTGTTTTGAAAGCGATTTCAACGCAGCATTTCTTATACCAGATTCTATCCAGTGACGTCTAGAAATGGGTACTTTTGGACTGCTACGTATTAGTGATGGGTGTATTCCTTTCGCTCTTCCTCTTTCCCCTCCCCCCGCCTGCTCCTGATCGCCTCGCTCGCTGCCTCCTTCTCCAATCACGCTCCACATGCAACTCTCTGAGTGGTTCAGACAGCTGATCTGTGGCGACGTGACCACGATCCAACCCCTATGACCTCACTTTGCTCTGCTTGACTCACTCCCTCCCTCTCCCTCTGCTTGCTTTTCTCGCGCTGTCCTTGCTGTACCGTTGCGCAGTGAGCGTTATCCATGCATCAGCCAGCAAGTGGTGCAAAACCAGATTCCCGAGTTTGGTGAGCCGCAGATTTCCATACAGCCAAGACGATGATGATGATGATGTTGCTTTCGTGTCTGTCTGCATTGACTTTGGCATTGACGTTGACGTTTGGACCAGACAACCTGTATCTCGATATGAATGGCATCATTCACAACTGCTCTCATCCAAACGACGTCGATCCGTCCTTCCGAATCACCGAGGACAAGATTTTTGCAGAGATTTTCGCCTACATTGACCACTTGTTCAACATCATCCGGCCGCAACGAACCTTCTTCATGGCCGTTGATGGTGTTGCTCCGCGCGCCAAGATGAACCAACAACGCGCGCGTCGTTTTCGTTCTGCCAAAGAGGTGTGTCTCCATTCCTTTTCCCTTTTTTGTTCACCTTGTTCTCTTCTTAACTTTATTCTCTCAACCACATTCTCTCTCTCTCTCTCTCTCTCTCCCCACTACCCTCCCAAACGCCTTGTTGACTGAAAACAAAAACCCCCTAATCGTCGCCGACTAGAACGAATCCAAGCTCGCAGAAGCCCGCCGGTCTGGAAAGCCAATCCCAGAGACGGAACCGTTCGACTCGAATTGCATCACCCCTGGCACGGCATTCATGTCCAAGCTTTCGGTGCAGCTCAAGTACTTTATCTCGCGCAAAATCACGACGGATCGTGCCTGGCGAAACGTCGAGGTCATTCTGTCGGGGCACGAGATTCCCGGCGAAGGCGAGCACAAGATTATGGAGTATGTGCGCACCCAAAAGTCGCTTCCGGGCTACGACCCAAACACGCGACACTGCTTGTATGGCCTCGATGCCGATCTCATGATTTTGGGTCTTGCATCCCACGAGCCGCAATTCTGCCTGCTTCGTGAAGAGGTCAAGTTTGGCGGCGGTAAGAAAGGCCCGCAGTCCAAGAAGACGGGCGGTGCAGACGCCATCACCTTCTTCCTGTTGCATCTCTCGTTGCTGCGCGAGTACCTCGAAGTTGAGTTTCGCCCTGCGTTCGACATGGCCCAGGCCGAGTACAAGGCGGCTCTGGCGGCCTTGCCAGCGGGCACTCCGGCTCCTCCTGCACCGCTCGTGTTCAACTTGGAGAGCGTCATTGACGACTGGGTCCTCATGGGCTATCTCATCGGCAACGATTTCATTCCCCATCTGCCGCACCTGCACATCGACACTGGCGCGTGGGAGTACTTGTACAAGGTCTACGGCGAGATTGTTCCAAAGCAGCAGAGCTACCTGAACATCAACGGCCGCATCCACCTCCCCACGTTCGAGCTGTTCATGGAGCGTCTGTCTCGCTTTGACTTTGACATCTTCCAAGAAAGCAACGCCGATCTCAAGTATTTGCACGGCAAGACCCGCGGCGGCCACAGCGGGCGAGGCGGGCGTGGCGGCCATTCTCGGCGTGGCGGAAACCGCGGCGGCGAGAGCGGCCCTAGCGGTGACAGCCGCCCCGAGAGCCGCGCCGAGGACGGCTTGGGCTTTTTTGGAGCTCAGGAGGCAGACGACACCCTGGTTGCCGAGATGAACGCCGTGGAAGATCGATTGAAGCGTCTTGGCATCAACACTGGTGCCGAGTTCTTTGCCGACACCCCGTCTTCCTCGGGCACCAGTGCCACAAACAGCGCGTTCGCCTCGCACTCGGCATCGAGCGCCAACCTGCAACTCCAGGATGCCATCTCGACCGAAAGCAGCGTCGGCAGCGGCACGGGC